GAGCCAGTCCCCGAGCGGGAGATAGGGAATCACACAACAGAAATGTCGTGCACAATGATACGGACCCTAAGTAGAGACCAGGGGACAGAGGTGGGGGAACTACCTGAGGTTATTTCAATCCAAGGAAGCCCTCAAGAGCTGGGAAGCAAGGATTCATTTCCCCCATGCCCTGGTCCATCTGTGTCTATGTCTAATTAAAATGTAGCACGGCGTCGCAAGAGGAATTTATGGGAGGGAGGTGGCCGGTAATACCGACGTGAAGGGTTAAGAGGCACAAGTCCAGCTGCAGAGGGCTGAGTTCTAGAGCAGCAGTGAGAGCTGCTGGGCCAGGACTGAGGAAGGCTGGAGGAGGAAATACAGCAGCTCCGAAATGTGCCGTAATGATAGTGCTGGGTGGGGTCAAGATCTGGAATAGCTGTCTCGTGGGAGTGACGCACGTCAGGAGTGAGCTGCTGCATCAGCCGAAGCAGAGCACTGAAGGGAGCTGTTTCTAGCCAGTGCTTTCCTCTCTCCACTCCAGCTGCTGTGAATGCCCATGAGCTTTGTGCTTACCATCGGTGATGGGGGAAGATAGGGCTGGGGGAGGCAACCCTTCTGCCCAGGCCCCGCCCGGTACAGGAGGCAAGCCGCCCTCCCCCACAGCACTACGTGGAAGTGGAGCAGCACCTGGCTCTAGCCTCCCCAGCCCCAGGACCATGGAGAGGTAGGGGTGCAGACCCCAGCCTCCCCAGCCTCAGAGCACAGGGAAGGCGGGCACTTGGGGGCAGCAACCCTTCGCCCCACAGTACGCCAACGGTAGGCATTCGGTGGGTGGGGCAACGCCTTCCCTTGCCTAGCATACCCGCTGCCCCCGGTGCTCACATTGCAAGTCTAAAGCATCCGTCAAGCAAATCCCCACCTGCTAATTGCTCCAGTTTGCACGCCGGAATGTGCGCAGGCGTGCCTGGCTCAAAGCCCCCCTCCTCCCGCTGCGCTGCCTTATTGCGTGAGGTACTTGAATGGGGCTGAGTCGGGCCATAAATGCATCTCCGTACCCTGGATCCTAAGAAGTAAAGCACAACCCTAAAGTTGATCAGCATTTGCTACTGCCCTTTGTGCCTCTTCCACACGCCGACAGAAAAGCCAGAGGAGGACTCTTTAAAAGGAAAAGCAAGGAAAAGTCTTTCTCTTCTCTCCTCCCCTCCCCCGCCAACTCCCGCTGCCTTTTGCTCGTATCACGGTGACTTGTTGAAAGAGAAAGATTACCCCGGCAGCCGGCACCACTCTCCCTGAGCAATGCGAGAACTGAGAAGTTATGAAATTGAGGGCACCTTCACTGAGAAATCGATTAGCAAGCCGAGGGAGCTTGTGAATTGGATGTCTGGCCATTTTCAGTAATAAATCGTGAAATAGTCTGTGAATAAGTAGTTCGTCGAGATCAGAATTACCCCCTAGGAAACGTTTGAGACCCAGAGATACATTACAGAGCGAGTGGCCTTCTAATCCCCAGCGCTGTGGCTGTTAAATATGGATGTTATCCCTATCGTGCTTCCCAACATGAATAGGGTTGTATGGCTGCTTTGGAGCTGGTGTATTTATACCAAGAGCCATAGACTCAGCGGGTTCACAAACAAAGCTCTAATTCCAGGGGAGAGGGCTGCGGCGGAGACGCGGGGAGGGAGGCTAATGGGTTTGCATGCACTGCACTAACTCCATGGGCACGACATTGTCAGCCTTGCTTTCTCATCCAGCAAACCCGGACCCCGGTGCTCTCTCTGCTCCACTCCCCATCAACACTCAGAGCAGGACGAACAGCCTTCGGGACAGCCGTCCCCTGTGGGTGCTGGGGGAGTACGGATCCCTCGAGGCAGGACGCAGAGGCAGGGATGCTGCTGGAATTCCATGCACAAGGGCGAATTCCGGGGCACCTCCAAGCTAGGACATTGTGCGTAACGTTATCTGCTACATGGCTCAATTGAACAAGCAGTCCTTGCCTCAGGCAGGGCTCCTGGCCTGCTCTTGTCGCCTGTTGCTCACCGGCCGGAAAGCATCCCTTGAGCTTCTCAGCGCTTCCTTCTCTCTCAGCCCCACATCTGCCTGGCCCCTTTCGGTTGCCAAGATGAACAGCCCACATGCAACACTTTGCGCGGTGCTAGGTTGTCTGCATTTGCCTAGGCTGACCTCATTCTTCGAAGGAGATGAGAAGAAAGATGGAGCCATTCTGAGAGGAAGCTCTGCTTGTCAGAAGCTGCAAATGGGGAGGGATCATTTGATGATTCCCTGTTCCGTTCATTCACTTTGGGGCACCTGGCATTGGCCACAGTCGGCAGACAGGATACTGGGCTAGTTGGACCTTTGGCTGGTCTTATGTTCATATAGGGCTGCTAATATGAGTGCATTAGTATTTGGATTATGGTATTACCAGGCATGGATGGAGGCATCATTGTGCCAGGCAGTTAACCCCCATAAATTCAGCTTTTGAGCTAGGACTTTTTTATTATATGTGGCGTGCCTGGTGGAACAAAGAAAGGGGGAACACAGAAACAATGAGACAATTTGGTTATTGGAACAAACAAGGCTTCTGTATTTGACAGGCAGCCCGGGTCTTCCAGGGTGCCATATATCTTGGGCATTAATCAATGCTTCCCTGTGGAATGGAGTAATAATAATTAATGCAAAGACATGGTTTGCTTTCTGCACTTGATTTTCTCAGACAAGTTCTGGATCCAGACCCGACTGGAGCTGGGTTCTCAGCCTGACCTTTCTGAGCCTTTCAAGGCATCCAAGCTGGCCATCTTTAAACAAGAAAGGAGGGCTATTTTGGAGCATTAGCGGAAGTGCAGTCATTTGGCCTCGGAGGAGAGCAGCCCTCTAAGTGTTTCAGAGAGTTCACCGCGGAACATTCCTTTTAGCGGCGCTATCCATTACAGTGCTTCCTGGCGCTGCCTGCAGTCTGCTAGCTAATAAGGCTGCACTTTGCTGCGGTTTGTTAAAATTTCAGAGGCTTTTCTGAATATTAAAGTAATGAGAGCATAGCAGGAGGGGGAGAGGAGGCCCTGAGAGAGCATGATGGGGGTGCTGCACCCTGCTTGTGGTGCCCTTCCTGACATACTGCACCAAGGCTTGTTAGAAACTATCGGCTCCATGCATCAGCAGTGCATGGGCATCTAACGACAAATGCCCAGGGCTGTAGCCATGGGTTTGTTGCTAGATCGGCCAGAGTGATGCCTGGTTGTTCCAAAGTCCTGGGCCCTGATCCAGGGCTGTGTCTGAGCTGATCTCAGTGCAGCATGGGTGGGAGAAGATGCCAAAAGCTACCAGGATTGCTGCCGGCTAGCATAAGTTAGAGTGATCCTGAGCTGCTGTAAATGATGCCTGCTGTCTTTTATCCTGGAAGAGCAGGGGTGGAGAACATAAGGCCTGGTCTCCGACTTGCCTGGATCTGGTCCCTGAGGCTCAGGGCTCCCACCCCCAACATTAGGGAGTCTGTGCTGGTGTTCCAGCCCCCCTCCCCCGCATCCTTTCCCTGCCGGACGGGACAAAATCTACTAGCCTGGGTCCACCACACCCCCGGCTCTGGTGTGTGAGGGGCATGCGGGGACTGTCTTTCTCCTTCTCAGGCAGGGGCCACATCAGTGAGGTTTTGTTTCTCATTTGTGTATGGCCCCCAACCCTAGAAAGGTTCCCCATCCCCGTGGAGGAGGAACAACCCCTAACTCTTGGGCATGCTCTCTTCACTGACAGCTAAAGTGGGGGTGGAGGCATGTCAGGCAGCATGCCACTGACCATGGCAATTCCTCTACCAGTCAGGTAGGCTGCCATATGGCCAGAATCAAGCTGTGGATCAGAACCCTAGGGGATGTTTCTAGGATGCTGTAGGGCAGTGTTTCCTGATTTTATTTGGCCACGGAACCCTTTTCAGCTTAAAATAATTTCAAGGAACCCCTAGGGTTCCCAGAGAAAAATTTGGCAAGCAAAAAAAAAAAAAAAAAACTCTGTCTCTTTAAGAGGGGGCGGGGCAATGCCACATTCTCACGGAACCCTTACTTTCACTTTGTGGAACCCCAGAGGGCATGATGAAATCCAGGTGTATGTGGAAACCCTGCGGACCAGAAAACCTGCTTTGAAATCATCAGCTTGTAGGCACCTCCTTCTCTCAGTACTGACCGGTGCTCTCAGCTCTCAAGGGTGCCTGCTATGAGGTGGGTAGTATTCTCTGCAAGCTGCATGCTTGGGTGGCCACCCAAGGGAAATTCACATGCTGTTCAGCTGATTAGCCAAGCGCTCACAGTGCCCACAGCTGGCAGCATGTGTTTCTCCCAGTGGTGCACATCTGCACATGCCTTGGTGCATATAACAAAATGTATTCCTCACATAAATGAAACAAAAAAAAGAGAGAGAACACTGGAAGTGGGTTCTGCTTTGTTGTAATGGAAAAGGACTAAGACATATGCTGGTCTTCTTATGATCTACCTCCAGCCAGCACTAGAATCCCTGCCCCATTCTTTGCTTTGTTTACCTATTCCTGTGGGGAAATAATGCCAAAAGAAATAAAGCTTATATTGGCGAGATACCAGCCCCAATGCTATGATGGTGAGTCCACAACAGTCCCCAGGGGTTGGTTCCTTTGTGCTTCTAACTTCAGAGATTGGTGGCTGATTTTTTCCCCCCATGTATTTTTGTTTTTCAGTGCCCTTGTGTTCATTTTCAGAGCATGAAATGGTTATTTTTTCCCCCTCTCTCTCTCTGAAATCCCGCTGAATGGAAAACAGTTGGCTGCTCAGAAGAGACAAAATTAAATTTAGAGGGGTAAACAAGGTTGCTAATTAGCGGCTGTACCGTGCAAAGTTAATTTATTCTGAACATGTCGCGGTGCCAACCTTGCCTGCATAATCCGTGTCACATTGCTCAGGGTTACCTGAAGGAGCAGCCACCTGCTTTCCTCACTTTGCTCTTGTTAATGGGCCTGGCAGCCTTCCTTTAACTGGGGCTCTTTACTCTGCTCTCTCCCATCCACGCAGGAAGAGCCCTTCGTCATGTTCCGGAAGTCAGACACAGCCCTCTTTGGGAACGACCGCTTCGAAGGTTACTGCATTGACCTCCTGAAGGAGCTGTCCCACATCCTGGGCTTCACCTACGATATCCGCCTGGTGGAGGATGGGAAATATGGCGCGCAGGACGAGAAGGGGCAGTGGAACGGCATGGTCAAGGAACTCATCGACCATGTGAGTAAGGCACGCGTGTGTGCGTGTGTAAGCCTACAAGTACCTCGGGGATACATCAGACTGCAGCCTGTACTGTGGGCCAGGACACCTGGAGCATCTTAGCCCCCCCTCCCGGCCCCCTGCACTGAGCTCTAGTGTCCCGGATCATCTGAAGTCAGTAGTTTTCCCGATGTGCGCTGACCATACTCGAGATCACAAATATTCGGGATCGTTGCCAGGGGCCTCTTCCAAGGTCATTGAGAGAAGGAATAAATTAGCCCAGAGGTTCTCAGACTTAACTACACCGTGACCCCCTTCTGGTAACAAAAATTACTACAGGACCCCTGGAGAGGAGGAGGGGGGAGCTGACATCTGAGGACATCAAAGCTCCACCATCGGAGGGGGGGGGGAGGGCAGGCAAAGCCCCAGGCTGAATCTCTCAGGTTTGAGAACCTCTGAATTAACCCAGCTCACAGCGGTCTTCCTGTGTAGAACTGGGGGCACCACTGCCCCAGCTGGGTTACATCCTGGCTCTAAGCTGCCCCTTCTAATTCCAAGCTGCTGGCCCAGGGGGCATGCCCAGTGCCGGGACTTTGCCAGCGCACAGCGAAGCTCTGGACAGTGGTGGCCAATGTAATGACCCATGGGGCTGTTCCGTGCCTTCGTGCTGATGAAACTCCTGGTGGCTGCCAAGCCACACCTGGGATGGAACCATCCCTCAAGCAGCTCCTGAGATGGGGCAAGGCAAGGGCACAGCATGAAAGGGAGAACCCAGCTGCCTTAGGCTCTGTGCTGCCAGTCTTGGTCAAAACTCAGCCCGAGCAGACTTGAGGGTTATTTTGTGGCTATCAGTGATTTTGGACAGCAAGTCATGCTGTTAAATATCCTCTTACTGCACAGCGGCCCAAGTCCCTCTCTTGGGGACGCACACCAACCCCTGCTGGAGTCGAGGAGAACTCTGCGGCCATGCGGAGGGACAGAACAGGGCCCTTTCCTAATCCCATTGAGCTAAAGGGGAGCTTTGCCAGCAACATGAGTGGGGGGAGCAGGAAGCCCCCTATACGGGCAATCGGGTTCTCAGGAGACCCCTGCCTGTTGCCTGTTTTCGCGTCTGGGTGCTGACAGTCGGACTCTCAGCCTTACCTTCACCTACAGCGCGTCGTCCTCAGCGGCCAGCGTCAAGCTGTGTTCAAATGGCAAGCGAATTCTGGCCAACTCTATTTCAATATGTGTCCCAGCGAACGTGTTTACCAAGGTGGAGGGAGTCGTAGGACTGGAAAGGGCTTTACAAAGTCCTCTGGGTCCAACCCCTTGCCACGCTCAGGCAGCGTTAAGTACACCTGCCTCAGCAAGCGGTCATGCAGCATCTCCTGGTCTTCAGTCACAGCTCAGTGGAGCCTTCTCTTGCGAATGGGAGGAGTTCATTTGCTGGGTTTCTCTGGATAGTCAGTCTGACATACCTGGCCACTTCACTTTGCCCTCCCTCTTCTTATCGTTACTTTGCTAAACTGCCGATAACACCCAATGACCTGACCTTCAGCCCCAGCACCGAGGATTCTCTAAGAGGTGGCAGGGAGTAGCTCACAATGCCTGGTGTCTTCAGTCCCAAAATCACCTGCTGCTGCTAGTTCCTTCCCATGTGCCTTCCTCTAGATGACAAATGTACAGCAATCAAACTGGGTAGATCATCCCTAGTGCAAGGCAGGGCTTTGCTATCCTGGGATAGCTCCCTCCTTTAACCGGGCTGAGACTGAGAAGGTGCAAAGAGCACGGTCCCAAAAATGGCTAGTCCCCTTGTGCAGAGACCTGCTGCATTACATCCCGTGGAATGGTCTGGGCTAGTGGCATGCACCACTCCTACCATTGTCCCCTGTGCAAGCCTGACAGCTGTGGGACCCCTGATCCGAACTTAGCAAGGACCCGCTTTCATCAGCACATGTTTGTCAATAAGCTGATGCTTCCATTCCACCAGTTTCTGTGGGATTCTGGCATGCACCAAAAGTTAAGTCCTTTACTGCATCGATCCCTTTTCCATCCCTGGGCTGAGTCATCCCAAGCAAATGATTTGCCCTTCACTAAAGCGCTACTGGCTGCATCAAACGCCCCCAACTATTAAGCCGAAGGAAGTCCATTCAGCCTGCTTTAATTTTTGGTTATACCTCCTAAACGTTCCGAGATCTTTTTTCACACCTTGCATTCCTGTCCTTCGTAATCCCTGAAAGTTGTCCTTGTGCTGCTGCCAGTAATTTGAAACTGATGTGTGCGGTGACCATGCACTCTTCCATTCTTTACAGCCTTCTGCATAAAAAGCTCCAGGGAAGTGTAAGAACACTGTCTGGGATTTTCAAAGAGTCAGAAAGGAGTTAAGTTTCCAACTCCCATTAAAATTTGAAAGTCTTTAGTTGATCACAGCGCCTGGAGAAAATCCTGTAATGCATGTTAACAATTGTGAAGCTGTAGTCATCAGTCTTAGTACAAAAAGGCCTCTTCCATGCCTGGGATCAGGGCAGTGGGGGAGCATTTCAGAAGGAGGCTCTGCCACCGAGCGATTAATAATTGTGTGAGTTGACGTGTGTGCACTGTAATAGGGTGGGAAATTGTTAGATGCAAGGCGTGCTTCCACTCTGAGACAGCTGTTTGCCAGCAGTGCAGAGGAAGGAAAACAATCACGTTCCTCATAAATGTTATCTTCCCAAGGAGACTTAATTATAGGCCCATTTGTAGACACGAAAAAAAAAATCCCACTGCACTTTCTGTGTAAGACTTGGGAGACATTAGCCGCAGTGCCTTGACCTGATTCAGGTTCTGCTATTTAACTTCACAGAGGGCATTTTAGGCAGTATTCTGCCTCACTTCCCATCCGAAACTGATGTGTGCGGTGACCATGCACTCTTCCATTCTTTACAGCCTTCTGCATAAAAAGCTCCAGGGAAGTGTAAGAACACTGTCTGGGATTTTCAAAGAGTCAGAAAGGAGTTAAGTTTCCAACTCCCATTAAAACTGAGCAGCTAGCTCCCTCCGGATAAAAAAACAAGCTGGGATTCATCACATCGTTTTCTCTCCCGTTTATTGTCAGTACATTCAGAAAACTGGTGAAGTAAATAAACATCTGTGGGGAACTACAGCCCAGATCACCTTATCTGACTTGACTCATGCTAAAACTCTATGCAGCTGAGTACCCCAAAGTCATATGGCATCAGCATGATTTATTTTTATTATTTCGCTGGCTCTTTGCTTTCCTTCATTGCTGGTGAGCACAGAAATACAACATCTCCTATTCCTCTGGCTTAGTGACATGCTTATTTATTGGAAACACTACCTTGTGTTTTTCCTGGCTCTTAGGTGAACGAATGATCATTAGTGTCACTGATAACAATAATTAGAGTCCTGTGCAGATATGGTATCGGTGTTTGTGTCTGGAAAAATGATCTGTGGATATCCACATCTGTAGCCATGGATGTGGATACCCGCGGATATAAAGTGGGTATCCACAGATTTGCAGGATTCTAGGTACAAAATTTGTATCCGCATCTGCATTCATATCAGCAAAAATGGGCTGCAGGTAGCCACACTGCCATCCATGGATGTGGATCCCTGCGGATATAAAGTGGCTATCCACGGGTTTGCAGGGCTCTAACAATAATATCTAGCACTGGATAACCGTACTCAGAGGGTTATTAATGGTTCTTAATCCTGCTGGAAAGATATAACAAGTGGAGTTCAGC